AGATATGCTCTGTTCTCCTCTTCCCCTTCCCCCTCCTATGTAGCCTTCTGAGCCCCTATCCTCTCTTCCTAATGTATAGGAAGTATTCAACATACCCATCTGCAATGCAAATTTAAGGAAAAATGGCAACATATCAAAGGAATCTGAAGAAGTGGTTTTCACAAGGCACTCTCAGAATAAATTGTTTGTTCTTGAACCAGATAATACGTTGTGACTGAGAATTCAGTTTGATTCCTGGCCCCTGGAGCTGAAGGCATGATGAATTCAAGCTTGACCAGCAGCACATGGGCAATGAGCACGAAGTGTTACTTGCTACCCTCCCTTCTCCAAATACCAATGTATAAATGCATGTGGCCCCATCTGATCAAGCCTACAAGTAGGAACATCAACAGTTACTACAGAATATAGCACCTGAATGGCCTGCTAATATAAGCACATTTTGTCCAGCTTTGTCACAATCCAACAACATGGAATGAAAGCAATAGCCATGGACTTATGAAGGTCTCTTGTGTCAGTCCAGGAAACTTCAGGTAAAGTAATTCCAAATTTCAGTTAATAGCTGATGGACAATCCCAAGGAGTACCACTTAATATCCAGAAATTAGAAAATGCCAACTCAAGTAATCCTCATATATTGCAACCTGGTGTTTCCTTTTTGGAACAAAAACTAACTCTATGACAGAAAATAAACATCCTTTTCAGAGACGCATTGCTTCTCAGCCCTCTTTTGTCATGCAGAGTCAACCAAGAAATCACCCAATTCTGTCTTATCACATCTGCCCCTTAGATTATTTGGGAATAAGTTACTTGACAACCTCTTCTGTAACTTTACTGCTTTTGGTGTTAGGAGAGAAAGTGAAATCTACATATCCCAGAATAACTTCTGCTGGGCGCATCTCACAACTTCCCTTTTCCCTTCAGTACACATCACAGTCACTTCCCCCTATGAAAAAACCCACTATTGAATACAGCAGCAAAAGGATATCCTCACAACAGCTTTACCCAACCAAAAGAAAGCAATAGATCATTCAGTTCCTAAGACACAATTCTAACAAGATTTGAAACACAATGGAAAATACATCATTTGCAACCTAATTTGGACTTACCCGTGGGCTGGCTATGCACAGGAAGGACGGCAGCTCAGTCACCTGGCAGCACCGAACACATGAGGTAGCTGATCTCCTTCGATGAATGACATGATCTGAATAGCCAGTCACTGCTTTACAGTGGCTACTGAACACAAGGTTCTGAAAAAGTGAAAATCGAGAAGTTACTAAGTCTAGAAAGAAAAACTCCTTTTAAATCTTGTGACCACCCATGAGAGCAGACTAAGGACATTCACCAAGTATTTCTCTTTGAAAAAGGAAACTACACATCTTCTGCAGCCACAATGTACATGTATGTACTGTAATTATCAGAACATTCAAATCCCAAAATGGTTAAAATCAGATTAGCTTGTAACAGCACTTGCCTTTACGTGGATTTGGAATCAGAAACAAGTTTTTCTTTCTTTGAACCTTTTGACTTTAGATTTCGTAATGAAGGAAACATGGGAATATTCTAGTAGGTCTGATTCTCAAGCTGCTTTGTAGCTACTCATTTATGGTTTCTGAAGCATGGGTGAAATGAAGTTTGGCAGATAAAATATAATTAAGACTCAAATGAGATTGAATTGGCATCTTTGGACTTTCCTCTTTTCCAACCTTTTTCTTCCTTTCCTGTGCAAAAAGGCTCTGAATTTCATCTTGAAGATTTTCAAGGTGCTAGCATGGTTATTCACAGGCATGAACATACCCAGGTGTAAAATCTGGAATTTGCCACAGATGTATTAATGTCCTTTTGATACAGAAAAATATATTGACTCAAAAGCAGGGGGTTGAGATGACACTGCATTTTAAAGAAAGGAAAGCTCTTTGGAGATGCTCAACACTATACAGAAAAATTACACAAAGAATTATCTTTGCTTGTATCAGTTATTGTATTCCCTTTTTTATTCTAAATATCTGCATCAGACAATGAAATAAAATGCTTAGAGACTAAACCATTTTTGTTCCTTAGTTTTTGCTGTGACTTTTCTATATTTATGGTGACCAATTGTTATATATTGTTAGGTAAAACTGCTTCCTGTAGTATACAGATTCCACATACTATAGGAAGCAAGCAATAACAACAACAAAATAAAAATCAAGCATTAAAAGGTATACTTCTCACTGCCATAGGATCACAGAATGTGCCCTCCTGACAATTCTAGCAGTAAAATGTAAACCCTATCTAAAGCTTTGGCATTCTTCTGCCCCAGTTCCTAATGCACCAGAATTAATTGCACGCTACTTTTATTTTACACAGCCTCCCAATCTTGTTTGAAGTACAAGGTACATCATAGAAGCACATACATTGTGTATCATGTCATATACTGTATATATGCATTTCTATCTATGTCAAAAAATACTAGAAAACACCCACAGCAGTAGTCTATAATGGACGATGCATTCTGGGTCTTTTCCATTTCCAGATGTAGATGCCCTGAGCAATATGCATAGATAATTTGGAACTTGCTGACAAGGGAGAAAAACAGTCTTACTGTACATACATGCTAGCACCACCTAAGACGTACAATCAGTCAATCCTAGCACGTAAGTGGGTCTTTCAGCTGCTACCGGTGTGACTCGTGGTCTGGAGCTGGCAAAAAGAAAGCTCACACTCTTGACTCAACATCTGCTCCTCTATATAAAAGGTGAGAGCAAAAGAGCTGACAATAGCCTTTCACTGACACTCAGCAGGGCTAAAAAGCACAGGTCAAAGCTCAGGCCATACTGGATAATGTGAAGTGATCCCAAAAAACAGGCCCTTACTCAGCTGGCAGTTCTTTATCAGCAATGCTAGCTTAAGCAACAACTGCTTCACATGTTTAGTCTTGTCCCTGCAGAGCCCCTTGTTGGCCTAGCCGTCTCTATTCATTAAGATGCTGATCAAGATGAAAACAAATCCTTGCCCCTCTCCAAGCTAGTTTTGTGATCTGTTTCACCACCTGGTAAAACAGGCCGTGTGCTGAAACAGCAGAGTGGGCCACACATGGCTGGGAGGACACAGCTGCAGACAACGGATGCAAACACTGGCTTACTCCTCTGTGGACCAGAAAACGGTGGCAACAAAGCACCAGTACTGCAGCTGAAAAAGGGGAATCCCTTCCCATGACATAGTTCTGACACTTCTTGTGCCAGTTTAATCACCTGTCGCACTCCTCTCAAGTGTATCTAGCTACACATTTAATCAGAAAACAAATTCAGCAGATATGAAGAGATGAAGTTTTCTGTAGTCAGCTCATGCAAAGCTGTGAATGTGCAAACCTATGTCAACAGAGGCAGGACTGAGTAACTGGAAGTAATGAAAGGGCTCGACTGACTCAGAACAGCTGCTGTAGTTCAGAGTCCCTGCCTTCCCTGCCCCTGTGGCAGTCACTGGACACACAGCTGATTTTACCATGAGGAATCAGCATTGCAAGCAGTCACAAGAGGTTTCCATTAAGTCTTACAACAGCAAGCACTGGCAAACTGATTGCAGCCTGACTGTTAGAAGGGTTCATTAACTTTATTTCCTAGAAAGTGAGATTACAAGAAATGGACAGAGAGGAAGCTACCAAATTGTAATTCCAAACGTATGCAAGTCAGCTATTTAATTCTCTTGTGGAAGCCAATACTGAAAAGCCACCGAAGATGCTTTCAGCCCAATTAGAAGAAACATAAAGGAAAACTTTCAAGAAGGTACCAAAAAGAAGAGGAAATTATTATTTTTGTGTAAACACAGTATTAGAAATAGTTAACAGGTGTTAATCTAGTTTTCAGCATCATGCTTCCCATGTGTAAAGTATGCGCAGGTCACACAAGAAACACCCCTCTTTGAATTCCCTGCCACATGCAGACATTAAATATTCATTAACAAAGCAGACACCAGATAGAAGAGAGACAGCAGAAACCTACTTCCCATCAGTCACATACACGGAAAAGCCAGGGTAAGGTTACAGAACTGAACACAGCCACAGCTCTGAAATGGATCATACACCTTAGTATGAAAAAGACAAGAAGCAAAGGGGAGGATCATTAAAAAATACAAACGTACACATCTACTGCAATCATGCAATCCAAAGTAAGTGCCGAAAGAGGCTTTCCTACACTGCAAACAGAGCTGCACATACATATGAATGATTGCTACCAGCATCTTAAGCTCAAGAATACTTCTAATTTTTTCATATAAAGAAAATTAGGAAAGTAAAGGACAGAATCAGGAATCTTCATGGTTGGAATGGACCTCTGAAATCACCAATCCAACTGTCAACACACACACAAAAAACCCAAACCAAACAAGGAAACAAAAGCTAACAATAAAACAAAACAAAAAACCAAATACACACCACAAAAACAACACACCCCACCATAAAAACACCCACAAAACCCCCACAACCTTGGTCACTAGAGCATACCCTGAAGTGCCACATCTACATGTTTCTTGAATACCTCCAAGGACGCTGACGCAACCACCTCCCTGGGCAGCCTGTTCCAGTGCCTGACCACTCTCAGTATATAAATTCTTCCTGATGTCCAATCTAAACCTCCCCTGCTGCAACTTCAGAAGGGTGCATCTCCACAGATCAGATTTTATATTAGTTTAAATCAATGTATACAAATTAATACACACGTTGTGGAGGTGCAGAGTGAGAGAAATGAAGAGACCTCTCACTGCAAAGGATTTCTGTGTTTACATGAAGAAACTTGTACTATCTTTAGAGAGATGTTACCTCAAATTCAGAAAGACTCATTAAAAATAAATGCGGGCTTTTTGGGTCTACTGACTTATTTTCAGTTTGTCTCTTACATCAGGAATGCTGATCTGAGCAGTTAAGAAAAGCCTTTCCAGATTTATACCACTTCCTTTTTCCTGTTTCTCCCCCTCCTCACTCCCTACATGTTACTATATTATGAAGCCCTAGAGGAAGCCTTGGGGAATTTAACACTGAAAGTTTCTCAAAATTGGGCTAAGATAAAAACGTGAGTTAATACTCTCAGTGATGCATGCTGTTAAAAGACAGACATGTAAAAAGGGCAGCTTGTTTTTCAACTCTCCCTTTGGTTTGGAGTATGAGGTTATTTAGAGATCATAGAATGATTAAGGTTGGAAAAGACCTTCAAGATCATCAAGTCCAACCACGAGCTCTAAAACCATCTCGCAAAGCACCTTATCTACCTCCTTTCAAGTAGTTGTAGAGAGCAATGAGGTCTCCCCTCAGCCTCCTCTTCTCCAGGCTGAGCAGCCGCAGCTCCCTCAGCCTCTCCTCGTAAGACCTCTTCTTCAGACCCCTAAACAGCCTGGTTGCTCTTCTCTGCACCCTCTCCAGCACCAACATGTCCTTCCTATACTGTGGTGCCCAAAACTGCACACGGTGCTTGAGGTGCAGCTGCACCAATTCCAAGCAGAGAGGCAGGATCACCTCCCTGGTCCTGCTGGTCACACTTTTCCTAATGCAGGCCAGGATGGTGTTGGCCCTCTTGGCCCCCTGGGCACACAGCTGGCTCATGTTCATCCAGCTGTCACTCAGCACTCCCAGGTCCTTTTCCTCTGGATAACTATCCAGCCACTCCTCCCCAAGCCCGTAGCACTGCTGGGGTTGTTGTGGCCCAAGTGCAGGACCCAACATGTGTCCTTATTGAAACTGGTTCCATTGGCCTTGGTCAAGCCTCTCCAGATCCCTCTGCAGAGCCTCCCTACCCTCAAGAAGATCGACACCCCCTGTCACCTGCAAACTTACTGAGGGTGCACTCAATCCCTTCATCCAAATCATCAGTAAAGACGTGAAACAAGATCAGCCCCAGCACTGGGCCCTGAGGCACATCACTCGTGACCAGCCCCAGCTGGATGTAACTCCACTGAACACAACTCTTTGGACCCGGTCGTCCAACCAGTTTTTTGTCCAGCGAAGCGAATGCGCATCCAAGCCATGAACAGATGCTCTATATGCAAGCTTGCAAACAAAATACTGCAAATGTAGCTTATTTTAAAGTTACTTTAGGTGGTAAGTTTATCTAATATGCAGGTCAGAAAACAGCTCTAAAGAATCTTTTATAATTGCAGGTCTAAACTTCCTTTAGATTTACTGGGGTTATCACAAATGCACTTTATTGCACACACTAATGAACTTTGTTCCTCAGCTTGCTGTTTTCTGTGTAAAAGGTATTACTTAAACCAGTCACTAGTTCTACCAGTCACAGCAATGAGACAAAAGTAATGGCAACCTCAAAGAACAGGAATTATTTGGAAAAAATGAAGCTAGGCACGGAAACATGGAATATCAAACACCAGCACAGCCAGGGTTAACCAGCACACACACTCAGTTGGCCTGCTCTTTGTTTGATAACGAGGAGGACTCATTTTGTTGGCTTTGCTGTTAACTCTGCAAAACATGACACCAAGCCCGAGGTTGGTTTCCTACTGCTTATGCATCTTCAATTTCAACTTCCTCTACACGCTATTCAATTGAATTCTGGCTATCTCCTTTCCCCTTCCATACTCATGAACAGAAGCAATATTCCCTAGAGAAATTTGGCACAATCTCACTGCTTCAGAAAAGATTTTTGTAATGCATATCTGCTAACTGCCCTAAGATGCTCTCCTGACTCTGTGTGAGCACTTCTGTGAACTTACTTCCCAGTGAAATGAATCAATGGAGTTATAACCTAACTCAGGAAATCAACAGCATTTTAGTCACAGAAAGACAAAACTTTCACACACATGCCAGGCAAATGATTTAGAGAAAATGACCTTGCATTACACAATAAGATTAACACTTTTTAAATCTACCAGCAGCAGAAGCAAATTTCAGAGGAGAAAGACACCATGGATAATGCCTGCCCACCAACTCTGAAAACACTAGGAGGGTGAAGTCTCTGCCTTCTCCAGTTGCTGTAACAATGTAGTGAATCTGAGAAAAGTTGGTTTCATCCAGAAAACAAACATCTCACATGTAAGAAAACATTACAAAATTCTTAAGCTTACAAGTAGAATCCATCCCTCACAAATCTAGTCTATCACAAATCACAGTCTAGTTCTGTTGCTCCAGTAATATTTGAATTACTTTTAATTCAACTAATGTATTTTTTATAGCTAGTTTTGAAAGGTGTCACCACATAGGAGGAAGGTAGCAGTCAAACTATGTTTCTGTTCAGCACTCTGAACTTTATTACCTATATCTAAAAAAGCAGCTAATAAAAGTCATCCTGCTTCCAAGTCTTGTTTTCATCTGTTTTATAAGGATGGAAAGGATGAGGATTTGCTACTGTCTCCACAGTAAAATTTTGCTTACCTGCAGCAAAGTGCAGCTGTGCAAGTTTGGGAAAGACAGTGGGAAATCTACATCAAGCAAGAAATCCCTGTTCCTCAAACAACGTGACCCCTGCTGTTTCTCCCATTCTGTCTCCATCCAGGAGCGCCTGTGATGGAGCCTATAGGATGCTTTCAGAGACAGGAAAAGAGCTAACCATCTGAAACAAAACACAGGAGATATGTTTATTCACTGCTTTCTGAAATAAAGGCTTGACTGTATTTACAATGTAACTGTATTTGATACAAACCTTTTTTAGACTTTCAGGCTTACAGTGCCTTGACTTAAAGTAAGTAATTTTTGCTAGACACTTTACAATTATATTACACTTATTTTAATGTTTTCTAAGGTATCTTAACTGAATCTAAATTATTATATCAGAATAAACTGTGAAGCACTTCATATAAAATGGTGGAGCCCGAGTTATTCACTATTAATAAAAATTTTACTCTGACTTCTCTATAAACTGCTCCATACACCAATTATTTATAACAACCTGCATAATGAACACAGAATTTATCATAAAAATCATTCAGACAGGTCAAGAGAAACTTTTATTATGTTACTGAAACACAGACAAGAAACAGTAGTCCAAAATAACAATAAAAGAATATTACACTTACAAAGCCCTAAGCAAAACAACTTTATGAATGAAGACTTGCTTTTAGTCTCATATTTCTTACTGCCACTGTCTAACTGCAGAGTACACTGTAACTTAAACAGATGACTTTGCTTTCCAAGACATGGTTCATGGTTCTAAAAATCCATGATCCTAAGCATATGGCTTGGAATTCCATTCTATATTAAAAACAGGACATGTGGAAGGTAGACAGTATGGCTTGGAGCTGAAGAAAAACTATCACAGAAGAAGTTTATTCCATATATGTTAAAACACACTGAAGAGCAACTGGTAAGAACAGCAATTAACTGGCCTTCAGAGTCTACATTTTGCACTTGATAACAACAGCAACCCAGTGTGATCCTACACAAACTCTCTTGTTGCTCTTTGACTGTCTTGTGTATTTACAATGTCAAATCTTTTTAACAGAAGTTTTCTTTTGACAGAGGTATAAAGATTGCCTTGTATAATGGTGTCCTATACCTGGGGGAATACTGTAGAAGTTGCTGTAATATTTGATAATGATAGACAATTGATAATATTATAAAAATCACAGAATCTTAGGGGTTGGAAGGTACCTCGAAAGATCATTCAGTCCAACCCCCCTGCCAGAGAAAAAAACCTGTAAGTTTACAGAGAAATCTAGTATCACCTGTGCTTTTCCTGTAATTACTAAAAAGGGGTGGGGGGAGCAGGGGGAAGTTGTCCTCACCTGGCTAAATGTCCCTGATTCATGAGGTTTGCCATTTCCACTGGAGAGACATCAATAAACCGGAGGAAAGAAAAACAGCTTTCTTCATTGACACCTATGTCACAGAAATACTGAAGTTAGGCCGACACATTTCACCAACACTCACAACTGAAAACAGTAAGCTTACTTCATCAACTCAAGACACACATTATCTGACATGCAACAAATCTAGGTGAATAAACAGGAGATCCTAATTTAACCTAGATCTTTTAGAAATACTGAAAACTTAATTGCTGATGCCTGAATCAAAGTACAAGTTCATTTTCCAGCCTGGGCAAGAGAATGCTGTTTACCAAGAAAGACAAGTATGTCCTAAGCCAGAAAACCATGCAGGCAGTAAGGACATTACTTTTGCTTACTAGGAATCAACAGGCAGTGTTCATGTCTGTGAATCCAAACAGGGGTATGCGAGGCAGATGATCAGGAGAAGGATACCTCAGGGCAGCTGCCAAACATGTGCCTTCTCTGTCAGCCAGCCAGTCAAAAAGGCTGGAAGGTGATGCAGGAACTGAGAGGGGAATGTGAGTATGGGGATAGGAATGCAACAGCTATGGAGAGGATGATGGGTACATTGCAGTGAAAGGGTGGGGAGCAGCAGAGATAGGTTCTACTGCTTACAAAAAAAAGCCTTTTGGGTCCACCCATGTGCACTGAGTATCCTCAATACCATCCATAGCTTTTTATTATCTAACTTCTTAACAAAGATTATATTCCCAAAAGTATTTTCCTTCTATGGTATGCCAAAAATGGGTCCCCATGAAAAAGCTTATTATGAACATTGAAACGGAGACCAAAATAATCAGCAAGACATACAGAAGTTACAGACAAGTGCAGACTCCTGTAGCTGCCTCTGGTTCTTCTCATTTGAAAAGCATTTTGCACAGCTGAGCAGGTCTGTGCTAACAGATTTCAGCATAGTAATGCAGCCAGTATACTCTTGGGTATTTTTCCTCCCCAAAATTTTCCCATCCCAGCTGAGCAATCTAGTTATCTCTTTTTAGCAAAAATATAAATAATGTATAATCATAAATGGTACTTGTCAGTTTAATCGGTTTATGTGATTTTTTTGGCTCATTGACTAGAACCTGGGTCACTTGCATCTCATTTACTTTTTACTTGAGAGAGAAGTTAGCAGTTTACCACACAAGACAGAATGACTTGAAATGCATCTGTGAAAAATTCACATTAGACTAAAATGGCAGCATTATCCCCTGAAGTAAGTTAAAACAAAGAGGAATGGAAAAAGAGACTGCACTAGGATTAAGCAGGGACTAAAAAACAGGTTGTCCATAAGTAATTCTTCCATCTGCTTCCAGCTTTTCTCCTCAAGCAAATGAAATACATTTACAAGTACAAATGCTAACAGAATTCTAAGATCTAATCAGATTACATCAGAGGACTGTCCTCCTAGTCCTTCCCCCTAAATAAGACATATTACAATATCACATGCAAGTGTGCAACCAAACTTGCTTCCCAGGACTGTATACCTACCCTTCCTATGGAAGAGAGACTGCTGGATGTGGTCTGGTGCAAATGGCGAAAGTAAAATCCTTAACCACCTGAAAACAACAAAAACAGAATCACTAACACATACAACATTCAATCACACAATCAGCATAAAAAGCAGAGTAACCGTTCAATTCTTCATCTGAAATATTTCAGAACTCTGGATATCTGGAAATGCATGGCAGTTAAAAGAAAAGCATCATCAGTCCACATGCACTACTGCTAATTTGACATTGAGACACACCATTGCTCTGGAATTGCATTTTGTGCTGTAGAACAGTTTCATCTTCAACCATGGCTTTCTCTGCCCTGAGCACTCCTCATGACCAAACACAAACAAAATAAATCAGAAATTGCCACTGTCAGAGAAAACTGTAAACTGCACGCAGGCAATTTCTATTCATCCAAGGTAATCACTAAAAGCTGTCCAGGCACTTGCAGATGTTCATGATATACCAGGTTACAATAGACACTGATAGCTTCCTTAAACATGAAAACTTACTGAAGGGAAACCAGTTGGGGATTGTTTCTAAAAACTCTTGAAGCTTAATTCCATTACACATCATCAGCAACAACTCTGAATTCCTCTTCCTGACTTTCTTATTCAATTTAAGGGATATCTGATCATCACGATACCACCAGGAAAGAGCATCAGATACCAGATGCTTAACAGTTGAATGAATGAAGGAAAACAAGGCATGCATCGCCCGGCCAATGTCATTTAAGTACATCAGGTAAGGGAGTTAATTAGCACTTACAAAGCTAAAATAAGTCTAAGTAATGACACTAAATATGCTAAACTGGAAAAGGAGTAGGCTTGCCTGTCCCGTGAGTGGTTAAAGACCCTGATCTGTCCATGACGGTAGATGAACTTTGAAATCTGGTATGGCTTTAGGGAGATGTGAAATGGAGACCACGTTTCTTGTCGCTCAAACAGCTCCGGGTGATTGCACACCTAGAAGAAAGACAGCATCTCAGACACTTGGAGGAATTAATTTAGTTTGATGCAGCATTTACATCCCAAATCAACTATGGCTACTGATCACTAAAACTTTGCTATTTATTAGTATGTCACAGTTATTTATCGACTCAAACTTGAATACTGCATCATAACCTTTCCTATTCACACGGCAGCTATTGCCTCTTCTTCCCAAGTGAATTATTTCCGTCAACAACCAATTCGGAACAAAACCAACTAGCAAATGCATGCATCATTTGGCTAAAGATCTTCTACCCCAACCTCATGCTACACTGTATCAGAAGCAACTGAACTGCATGCAAATTTCCTTGCCTACACCAGATTTTTTTAATATGGTGCTTTCTAGAAGCTGTATTTTAGTTCTGAGCTAATTATACTTTTAAAAAATTATTATTTAAAATAGCATTACCTTCCTGAACTGCATGACTAGATTCATGAGACTACTAGTTGTGGTCTGTGCTTGCTGAGTAGTGCCCATTGAGGACTGCAGGAGGTCATCAATAGAGATTTTGTTTTTCAGAGCTTGGTACAACAGCTTCTGTCGACTTGTCTGCTGGCAGTACATAAGGATTTCAATCTGCAAAACAGTAACAAAGATTTACCCTTTTCTGTCTCTGAAATGGAGGATGACTATATCAGCACATACAAAGCAGAGAGAAATGTATCTTGAAGGAAATATAACTTTCTCAAAACATACGTATATATGCTGCTGCATTCATGTCTGTTATTTCAGGATGCAATGTGGGAAGCACTTAACTGGTGTGTTTTGGAAGGCTAATATAATGATGTAGGAGACAGACCTTTAAAAGTATATGTGCACAACTAAGTAAACAGATTCACAAGAAGTTCTGAAAACATGACATCTGCAGCTGATCAGCTTAAAATCTGACCTCAGTGCTACTATCCTACTGCTAATATGCTAGCCATTTAGATCAATCTTAAAACAGCTGTCAGGAGCTCATGATAATGGCAGGTTCATCACATAACAACAGTGTCTGTGGGAAGTTCATACGCACATCAAAAGAAAGCAGGTATCTCTTAGCCAGTGGTCCTAAAACCTGGGGACACATTGGCCACAAGATCATCCAGTATTGCCAACATCCACAAGAAAACAAGAGACTAGCGAGTTCAGTATTATGTTGCTGCTATGCATTTCTTGGTCTTTGCAAGCAAGCAAAAGAATCCTAAATTCATGCCAAATCCTTCACAAAGGCAACTGGAGATGTTTATCACCCGATCATTGCTATATCAATCTCCTTCACTTCAATTAGTGATATTTCTTTTAACTTGATCAGCCTTAAAGATGTTTAATTTTAACTGTTGACAAAATGCTTCCCCTAGAAGAAAAGTTGATCAATTAGGGGTTCTTCAGTTACATTCACTTCTAATGAGATTTCTGCAACTGAAGGTCTGTGAAAGGTCTACAATGACATTTCAGGCATGCAGACTGACAAGGAAGTTTGCAAAAAACAGAGCTATGACAACAAAGTTGAAATATTCATTCCAGAGAAATGCTTTTTTCTCACCTTATCTGACAGCTCATTTTCCACATCTTTCTTTATTCTTCTCAACATGAAAGGCTTCAAGATCATGTGTAAGCGAGATAGCTGATCTGAAATGAGGAAGAAGGGACAATTAGTTCACCAGAGAAGAAAACAATATGTATTCTACTACAAATTAAGTCCCTTACTGCTCAGCCATTTCCCCCATATGAATTATTGCAGCCAGAGTTGGCACTTCCCTGCTGTTCTTCTTGGTTTAAATCAGTGCCAAGCTACACCGTCTACCTTATGAATCTAAAGATCTCCTACAAAGAATGAACTTCAAAAGCATTTTATGAGTTCTGTATTCCTCTGGGCTGGAAATACAGGCTTAAATCTATCACCCACTAATAGTGAAGAAGAAAAGTTCCAGATAAGACATTGCTAATTCATGAAAAGAGATTATTACACCCCCAAAATTACAGCATCACAAAACTAGGGCATATTACATTGACTGATAACTTTATGATATGCTATAAAAATGAAGCTCTGGGTATTTGAGAACTCTTAAAAGCTTTACTTCTGTGACAAGATCCAACTGTGCTGTTTTCTACTCCAGTTACAAATCAGCTCTTTTACCAAGCTGGATTTTTCTACATAATTATGCTCTAAAACTTACAGTGAAGATTTTACTTTTTTAAGAAGAATGTTTATGTTTGGGGTTTTTTTCTGGTGCTCAAACAGGTTTAGTGCATGGGGTCATAATTTTTATGTCTAGAACTTGCAACACTCAGGACATCTCTAAGGTGATGTGCTCTGTAGAAACTTACAAATATTTAAAATATTTCTTTGCCTGTGTTTGGAAAGGAGGACTGGAGACATTTGCACTAAACTTTTTTCTATTCATTACATACTTTGACTTAACTTTATGATATGCTATAAAAATGAAGCTCTGGGTATTTGAGAACTCTTAAAAGCTTTACTTCTGTGACAAGATCCAACTGTGCTGTTTTCTACTCCAGTTACAAATCAGCTCTTTTACCAAGCTGGATTTTTCTACATAATTATGCTCTAAAACTTACAGTGAAGATTTTACTTTTTTAAGAAGAATGTTTATGTTTGGGGTTTTTTTCTGGTGCTCAAACAGGTTTAGTGCATGGGTTCATAATTTTTATGACTAGAACTTGCAACACTCAGGACATCTCTAAGGTGATGTGCTCTGTAGAAACTTACAAATATTTAAAATATTTCTTTGCCTGTGTTTGGAAAGGAGGACTGGAGACATTTGCACTAAACTTTTTTCTATTCATTACATATGCAATATTACAGTCAGAAACACAAGCTCTGACATAAACTGTGGACAATAATCCACAGCATTCCAATCCCATTATGCATTCTTTGCTTTAGAAGACATTTTTCATACAAAAGAGAGATAAAGTTTACAAATTAGTAGTTGGAAAAGGCAACAAGTTTTTATATTAAAAACTACTGCAGTTACACACTGTACTCACTCTCATCAATGGCAGATTTGTTCTCTGCATGGCTCTCTATGTCCTTAGAAAACCACTCATTGAACTCTTCATGGGAATCAAACAGTGTTGGCATGATAAAATGCAGCAGGGCCCACAGCTGAAAGGAGAGAACAGCAGATCAGCAAGTCACCCTATTGTGGACAAGGCAACTGGGGATCTTAAACCATTGTATCCCTTTATGAGCAAAATCACTTTACTAGGTCATGAGATGTGGCAAAATTAAATGAAAAATCTGCCACATTCTCTTCCCACCCCACCTGACAAATGCCAGATATATCAACTTAACAAAAAGCCATTAGAAAGCAGTGACAAACACAGCACAATTATGTCAGCCAACAGAAGGAAAAGACCCAAGAACTAGATTTCATCCTGTAATTCAGGTATTACTAACCATCAGGTATCTTCAGTTTTATTTTTATTTGAATGTGTGACACTTTCAAATTTTCCCCTCCCAGAGCTCATTCCAGCCAGTTTGTTTGCCAGTTGTTTGCTACAAACATGATCCCACACCCACACAAACACAACAGGTTTCTTAACAGTTCACATGAATTTCTGGTTATAAAGAAAAGTCCACTCCTAGGAGCTTCCAAATACCTCAGCCATTGTGTTCTGGATTGGGGTCCCAGTCAACAACAATCTGTTCCGACACTGGAACTGCAGCAGAATCTTCCAACGGACACTGATTAGTAAAATGAGGAAAAAATCATTAAAACTGTTTTTTATAGAAGGATTTTAAACTTCAAGTATTATAAGACCAGTTGCTTCCAGGGATCTTTCCAAATTATTTTTGGAGGTCACTGGGTAAAACTACCACAGCTACTCCCCAGTCTTTCAAAAGACAATTACAGGAAGAAGTAGCCTTTTACAAATTACAAAGAAATGTGCATAACTCAAATTTTATTTTTTAAGTATCTTTTTACTCATTTTTAATACAAATGCTTGGAAGCTAATAAAATCTCATTATCAGAATAATTAACTTCCCAAAAGAAAAATATTTCATAAGTCAGAATGTCATGAATTTTTGCTTTTACAACACTAAGTGTATGGGCCACAGTAGTGGGAGTGCTGAGCTATATACATTACAATTCTCTTAGAGGGGCAGTTTCCAAAGAATGCTGAAAAGACAAGACTTCAGTCAGAATGAGTCTGCATCTAAAGCATCTTAACAAATTGTGTACAGTGGCAGCTTGGGCAAAGGTTATGGGAAAGCAGTTACAGAAGTAAAGATGGACAAATCTATTACTTGAAAACAACCAGAAAAACTTCTGGCGCGGAGTCTTTGGACAAAGATTGCACTTCGTTGCAGCCAACAGCACTCACAGGGTTCTGACCTTCATTTGTGTCTGGAAGTGCCATTGAAAAAAGAATCTAAATAATGTATTTAAAGGAGCCAATATAAGCAATACACACTAAAGACTACAGACTTTTCACTGGGCAGAATTCTGTGAGCAGTCAGCAAAGAAGCTGAACAGTGTTTCACACTGTTTTGTTTAAGTGTCCTGTACTGCATTGTAAGTTTCTGCTCCACAATTACTTTTAGATTTCATTTTACATATTCAGAGAAGGAAAATCTAAAGGCAAAAGCTGGTGGATCAACCCAGTGTCACTGAGTTATACAGATACCTAACTAGGTTAGAATCATAGGATCATTAAGGTTGGAAGAGACCTCAAAGATCATCAAGTTCCAACCCCCCTACCATGAGCAGGGAACCCTACCACTAGGCCAGGTTGCAAAAAACCTCGTCCAACTTGGCCTTAAAAACCTCCAGGGATGGAGCATCAACAACCTCCCTGGGCAACCCATCCCAGTTCCTCACCACCCTTAGAGTAAAGAACTTCTTTCTGATATCTAACCTAAATCTCCCCTCTCTCAGTTTAAAACCATTAGCCTGTGTCCTATCACTACCTTCTCTGAGGAAAAGCCCCTCCCCAGCTTTCCTGGAGGCCTCTTTCAAGTACTGGAAGTCTGCTATAAGGTCTCCCCGGAGCCTTCTCTTCTTCAGGCTGAACAGCCCCAGCTCCCTCAGCCTGTCTTCACAGCAGAGGTGCTCCAGGCCTTTGATCATCTCAGTGGCCTTTCTCTGGACACTTTCCAACAGGTCTGTATCTTTTTTGTGCTGAGGGCACCAGAGCTGAACACAGTATTCCAGGTGGGGTCTGACCAGAGCAGAGCAGAAGGGCAGAATCACCTCCCTGGCCCTGCTGGCCACACTTCTTTTGATGCAGCCCAGGATGCAGTTGCTCTCTGGGCTCCAGCACACACTGGTGGTTCATGTCGAACTTCTCATCAACTACCACCCCCAAGTCCTTCTCCTCAGGGCTGCTCTCCAGCCATTCTTGCCCCAGCCTGTATTTGTGCCTGGCATTGCACTGACCCAGGTGCAGGACCGTGCACTTGGCCTTGTTGAACTTCATGAAGTTGGCACTGGCCCACCTCTCCAGCCTGGATGGCATCCCTTCCCTCTAGGGTGTCAACCACATTACACATCTTGGTATCATCAGCAAATTTGCTGAGGATACACTCAACCCCACTGTCCATATGTCCTACAAAGAGACCTGGACAAGCTAGAGAAGAGAGCCCAGCTGAACCTCATGAGTTTCAACAAGGCCAAGTGCACGGTCCTGCACCTGGGCTGAGGTAACCACAGGTATGAACACAGGCTAGGGGAGGTCACATTTGAGAGCAGCCTTGTGGAAAAGGACCTGGGGGTGCTAGTGGTTGAAAAGCTGGACATGAGCCACCAATGTGCATTTGCAGCCCAGAAGGCCAACTCCATTCTGGAGTGTATCAAAAGAAGTGTGGCCAATGGATTGAGAGAGGTGATTCTGCCCCTCTACTCTGCCCTGGTGAGACCTCACCTAGAACACTGCATCCAGCTCTGGTGCCCCCAGCACAAGAAAGGTGTGGACCTGTTGGAACGTGTCCAGAGAAGGGCCACAAAAATGACCCAAGGGCTGGAGCACCTCTCCTATGAGGACAGGCTGAGGGAGTTGGGGTTGTTCAGCCTGAAGAGGAGAAGGCTCCAGGGGGACCTCATAGTGGCCTTCCAGTACCTGAAGGGGGCTTGCAGGAAGGCTGGGGAGGGTCTTTTTACAGGGGCTTGCAGTGAGAGGACAAGGGGTAATGGGTTTAAGCTGACAGGAGAGAGATTCAGGTTGGAGATCAGGCAGAAATTCTTCTCTGTAAGGGTGGTGAGACACTGGAACAGGTTGCCCAGAGATGTTGTCTGGGCTCCACCCCTGGAGGTGTTCCAAGGGCAGGTTGGATGGGGCTCTGAGCAGCCTGTTCTAGTGGGAGGTGTCCCTGTCCATGCAGGGGAGTTGGAACTCGATGATCTTTAAGGTCCCTTCCAACTCCAAATATTCTGTGATTCTATGTTAAACAGCACTGGTCCAAATACCCCTGAGGGACATCACTTGTCACCTGCCTCCTTTTGGACATTGAGCCACTGACCACAACTCTCTGGGTGTGGCCATCCAGCCAATCTCTTAGCCACCGAGTGGTCCATCTGTCAAATCCATGACCAGGTTAGACATTTAAAGGGTCTTATATGTGTCAATTTTAACTTCTACTGATTTGTGTAATCTTGATGTTTTCCTCATATTCCTTCAAGAGGTTGATACAGAGGGAAGATTTTCCTTCCAGTTAATGTATTACCTGGAACTACTCTTGAGTGCTTGTGCTTCATCCAACACCATGTATTGCCACTTAACTCGTTGGAAATACTTCACATCCTGTACTACTAGCTGATAACTGGTAATCACCACGTGGAAAGGAGCATCCTGAGTATACAATGTCTTCTATAATCACAAAATAAGAAACAAATGTTCACATAATGTACATACATTGTGAAGAGTCACTTCTGTATACAGTAATTTCAGAATTTTATTTCATAATCTTCTCTCATTATTACTGCATTTTTCCCCAACTGACTTTTTAAATTAATCACAGCATGGTTATTTAACTGGTGAATCTGGACTTCAGCCCATTAGTCCCTGAACAATTTCAGATGCTTCTCAATGTGCCAGACAAAACGTAGGCACCGAACCCTGTAAAATATGGTTGTTAAATCAGGAACATTCTCAGAGGCCCACAGGGATGCCAGACTTGGCCATCCTGAGTTAGGCTACTCGAAGAGAATAGACAGCTCTTGACACTGAAAGTTCCTCCTTTATTTACAAGGCTCTAGTTTCTGCAACTAAACTCCATACTGCCCTGAATTGCCCTGTACTGTATCACTCTCCAGCACCTGAGAAGCCTTCTACCTCATTATCTTACTGAAAATGTTGCTACATGTATCAAGAAACAGAACTCCATATCTGCACATCACTTTCGAATAGCAACAGTTTCTGGTTTGTTCTTCACAAATAACAAAAATGGGGAAAGCACACTGGTATTACCTGACTCCAGAACTTCCTGATCACCTTTCTATCGTGTGGATTTCCCCAATAAGGTAGCACCTGGAACAGTACAAAAGTAAAAAGACATTAGTTTTAAATAAAGATATACCTGCTCTAGAATTTTATGCTATGTACTCTACAAAATGAAAAAGACAGACATGTTTCTCCAGAACAACAAAAAAGGGAAATAATCTCTCTTAACACAGAGAAAAATCAGAAAGCACTTAAAATTACTTAGAGCATTCCAAGCCAAGGTGTGCCTAGTACAAAGACTAGATCAAGCTATGGTGAGAATCTCAAAATGCCCAGTAGCATGTTACACCTCTAGTCAGGTTTTTCTAAAAATTGAAAATGATACTTTGCTTATGGCAGAAAGAGGTCTGCCCTCAGCAGTCACAGCTAACCCCACAGGACGAGTGACCTTGTTCTCCTGTTTTATATTCCTGTTTGTCCCATTGGTTTTCTATTTCAGAACTGTCCCACAAATCAGTTCAAAATCAGATCAAGTTCAAACATATGGCCTGGAAATATTTAATATAATAATTTTTAAAAGTAAGCACTACGTCCAGAGAAATCTGTTAATTAATTTATAGCTCAGAACTTCAGGTGTCCCATCAGTCAGCACAGATCTTTGCAGCGCAGCGAATCCAGTTACTGGTTAATTACACTGCACTGCCATCTTCTGTCTGAGGGAAGGACTACACGCCACCCAAACTGAAAGTGAGGAAAAGAGCTGGCTGCTGAGCCTGTGGAAGGTCTTCAACATCTCCATCCTTCAACTGACACGCTCCAAACTACAAAATGCCTTTAGCTGAATATTCTCTCAACTGTTCTAAAATAAGGATGCTAGTGAAAAAGCATCAGACTAACAAAAAAAGTGATTTGCCTTTTAGTTTACATATTCTGCCGTGGACCTGAATAAATTAGTTCACTGTGATTTACTACAAGCATAATTGACTAACAGTTCTGTATGGTTAAAAGCAGGAACAAAAGACAGAGGATAATTGCAAACTTAACAATTAAAAGTTTATAAAGAATTCAGTTCTGTTCTGTTTCAAGGATGAAGTAAACATTATTACACAATAAACTTGAAGAACAGTTAGATTACGGTAGATTTATATTTTTTTAAAGCAAAAAAGGGATAATTACCAAACACACTGACTGTATTTTTAAAACTTCTTCTGCATTACATTCATGATAAGGAGAAAGCACAAACAGTCGCTTGCCTATATTGTACAATGAACTGATTAAAGGAAATGAGAAAGCAACTAGGTAGAACAGCCAACTGCTCTCATGTTTTACGTTCCTGGGGTTTTCATCAGGGTTTCTGTTTTTATGGGCTATGCAAATATAGAAATTATCTTTTTTTTTTTTAAAGTAACTCTTCACTAACTTAAGCACTTCTATTTCTTCATCAGTTTCTTTGAAGTCTCAGTAATACAAATTAATCCCAAAATATAAGTCAGTTGAATTATCCAGTATTGAACTATGTTTTAGCACAACTTCTCCTCATACAGATACCTCAAACTATACATGACTATAACCAACATATGGTCCTGTCAGGCATCTGCAGAGCAAGGTATCTGGCTATATTTCATATTTCATATATATTCACTTCTAAGTGTTTTCCTCCACCTTATCAAGTAGCCAAGAGATTCAAACAACCAGCTTGGATGCTGCTGGAATAATGGTTACTTATAACTAAGTGTTTTTTACTGTTCTTATGTTCTCTGCAAAAAAGAAAATCAGATGTTTAGAAAAACTGATCAAAGGTTACTAGGTTAACAACTCAAACATTTAAACCATTATCTATTCCTCTTGGCAGATGTAACTCCAAACTTCTGACATTTTTGTCTATCTTTAATTCTAAAACTTCAGCACTGTTTCAGCAGTATGCATTCTTTTTAAATCTTCTTTTGCAACACTCCAATGTTTTCCACTGGGAAAGAGGTAAGCAGATTGTTTTTCAGTCACTGATTGTTCCTTGCTTTCTAGCATAGTATGTTTTTACAATACAGAACTGAAGAACTCCATTTATTTTCTTCCAATCTTTTTGCTCTTATCTATTTGTGCCTTACTTCTCTCCTTTTTCTTGCTTACTAGTTGTATGTCCATGGTCCTTTAATTTTCCTGTAGTAACAACTGCATTCTCTCTCCCTCTGAACTGTTTAGAGTTAAGTTTTGTTCACATACAATCTTAATCTTACCAAGTTGATACAAATTACTGAAAACACCACTCTAGCCCTAAAGACTGAAATATTATTCTTATATCTGCTGCCAGGCCCACACAATAGAACTGAACATCCAGTCCCTGCCCCACTTCAATTCCTCACTGAGAAGATATCTTCAAGCTGATGCAAAATGAAAATGATACAATTCAATTAAGAACATTTTTAAGCCCTAGATAACTAAACATTCCAGAAGAAAAAAATCAAACACAATTATGGGAAAAAGATCAAAACTAGGCCTATTACAGAGTTTCAAATTCCAAGGTAATTAGGCATCCAGATGTGGCAGGAGAACAAAACAGTCTGCATTTGAAAAATCAGAAATATATATGATTATTACCTTAAATTTAGGTACAAATCTGGCAAACTCCTGGTGCCAGTTGTTCAGAGTAGAAGCAGGTGAAATTATTAAAAAAGGTCCCCAGATGTTCTCTCTCTGAAATATACACATTAAAAAAAGACACCCAGAAATTAATTAAGGTGAAGGAACATGGAGACAGTTCGATTCAGTTTTACAACTGTACTACATAACAGTGGCTACGTAAGAGAGGCAACTGTGTGCAACATTACAAAACTTCCTCCCAGCACAGCAGGGTGATAAAGAATCAAACAGAGCAGATCTAATGTTTAACTAGGACTTATTTCATAACGGCAAACTAGAACAACCACCACTGTTTTCATCTGTCTCGCTCCTTTGTTTCTGAAAGTTGCCACCATCACATTACTAACAGCCCCTGTCATTTTGGGGAGGAAAAGAACTTCCAGTGGCTCTGGCAAGCTTTGCTTGTCACATCAGAATGCCCTCTGGTAAATAACAAAGCTGAGTCATTAGTGCATTGATAGTTACAATCTAGCCTGCAGAACAGACAGTTAGAAAAAGTAAAAGCCTTCCAAAAACTCTCCAGCTGCAGTGCAATAGGGAGACACAGTTATGTTATCCCTTCCCTACAGATGAGCTCAAGAGCACGTGGCTCTGCACACTCTTCCACTATTATGGCTCATGGTGCCAGTGAACAAATGGGTAATCAAAAGGAACACAAATGCACAGAACTGTCACCTGGTCACTACTACAACTAGTTCTGTTCTCAGCATCACATGGCTGGTATCTCCTATTTAAGTAGCTGGATGCCAATCAAGACTTTTCTTTTTACATAAAGCTAGCCATTTCTTCATAAAAAATTAAGAGTTCCTGTTTTTTGGGGTTTTCTTCCTAGCCCAAAAGAATAACTATGCTTCCTGAAAAACCCTCACAAATATGGAAATCCACACCAATTGCCAGGAAGATCATAACCTGGGCTTCATTTCTACAAGTCTCTCTACTTTGTATAGTCAGTGAACCATTAAGTCTACAACTCTTATCAGGCTTTCACATAAAGTGAAAGTGAAAATATATCTGCTTTCTGAATAAACAAAAATTCAGGTTTTATTTATAAATACATACACACACAGGGACCTACACACACACATACTTTCAAAGGATTAGCTTTAGAACAAAGGGAAATGCCATAGCTAATATATCTTTTAAAGACATTTAAGCTTTATAATCTAGAATTAATCTTAAATGTATAAAAAGTATGCATATTCATAATGTGTAATGACCAAGAATAAGCTATAATCCACCTACCTCAGCCAGATGTGCAAGGAGAGCAATACTTTGTACTGTTTTACCCAGACCCATTTCATCTGCCAGGATTCCATTGATGCCCTGCACAAAAGATCCATAAATGAAAACGTATCACCTTACTACTTTTAAATGCACACAGGAGTACAACAGTTATAACCAAATTTAGGTGGAGCAGCCCTAGTGTAACTCTGAAACACCTTACTGTCTCTTACATTTTCTATTAAGAGATAAATTATATCTCAGCTGCACTTCCACCCAATTCTTGGGCTGATTTTTTTCCTCAGTCAGTCTGCACCTTGTGATTACACCATCAACTGGGTGGGTATGCCCACAAGGACAAGGCTGCCTGCAGTTTATCAGCTCATGAAAGCCCAAAACAACAGGCATCTCTGAGCAGCAAAACTTTCCTCAGTGTACAATCTAAGTGATAACAGTTGTACAAACATACACATAACAAATCTTGAACCTAGTGTCCCATTCAAAGTTGTCATTTTCTAATAATCAAGATTCCTGATAGGTGGCTTACATAGTATTTTCCTTTCTTCTAAAGACATTGCATATTTACTATACACAGTGTATTTTTCAAGCATTGATTCATTTATTTTTTTTACCAAGTTTACCCTAAGATTTAAATAATCCTAGAAGTTGTAAAAATCTGCAAGATGTACTAAGATACCTGCTCATACAGGTTGGCCAGCCAATTCATGCCTTTCAGTTGATAACCTTTCAGTTTTCCATTGAAAATAGTAGGCTGTGGAATATCCTCTCCTGCCCGGATAGATGGGTTTGCTAAACTGTAGCTCTCTCCAAAGCCAGTACCAGACTTGTTAGCAGCCCGTAATGCAGCTGCCCGGCTTTCTTTTGCATCTTCATCAAATGATCTGGTCTAAACAGGAAGAGGAAAGTATGCATAAGATGATGAACGTGTTAATTTATCAAGAAATGACAGAATAAAAGGCTGTACACTTCATATAAAGACACAGTCTGCCAGAAACTGAGAAAAAATAAGCCTGGTCCTACAGTCCAAATCTTTATACTTTGGTTTTCTACCTGTTTTGGTTATTTTTATACAGAAAAGTGGCAATGGAATTAAATTCAAATCTGGCACCTAGGATTATATAAACCTACTTGATTGGCTGCTATGAAAGATCCTGGTTCTGTGGCCTTTACCAATTAGTCTGCTTTCTCTTCTACTTCATGGATCCAAAAAATACATACCCGGGCCTGATGAATCTGGTAAGCATCCTCAGCATTCTTCAAAGCTTGGGCCTTGTAATAGTTACTATCTGAAAACAACATCTGCATGTTAGAGCTCTGCAGCAGTACCCTCTGAAATCAACACACAGGTAAATTCCAGTAATTACAGCAATGCTCCTTACAGGGAAAGTTTTTGTGCTTGAAATAGCAAGTTTACACAGTAATGTGCAAATTTCAAAACGGCGCACAGGAAGGATTGCAGATGAAGCACTTACCATAATCTTCTTGGGTGATGTTGACCACTACTCCTCCACCAATATCTATCTGCCTTTGGGTAGAGCTGTCCTCCAGCTTGCGTAGGATTTCCTCCTGTATTCCATCATGTCCAATGTCTCGCTTACGACTCATAAAATGGGCATATAATTCAGTTTGTGTGATCAGGAAGTTAAGTTTTCGCTGCTGCCTCTTAGCCTAAGAAAGGAGCGTTTACAAAAACCAGATGAAGGGGGAGAAAAAAGACAGGACAAAGGTTTAATGTTTAAAAACTAATAAAGAAAAAAAATACTCTAATAATGCATCAACAAATAATCCATCTACGTTGTATTGGGCACATCACTGTGACATCAAAATGCTAGAATAGTAGTTGCAGAGAACACCACTGACCACCACCATAAACACCTATGTTAAAATATAGAAATGTTGCAAATGACAAGTTCTTTTAAATTCAGCAGTCATGGCTGAGAATACCATATTCAAAGAAAATGTGAAAGTTTTTAGACTGAAAAATTAAAAGATTGACCAAAATTAACAGGATTTTAGTAGACTGAAGTAGAAGAACTGAATAGTTAAAAAAAAGACCCACTCATGACAATGTAATTCAAATATGCTGTTATTTACTAGTAAAGAAAATTATGGTAGAATATGTGATATGCACGACTAGGTAATATAGTTGAGAAATTATAATGGTTCTGGGTTCAGCAAGATGTTGAAGAAGCTGTTTATTCTTAGGTTCTGGTTAAAATATGCTACAGTTAAAAGTTGTCTATTAATCCAAGTCAGCTGAAACCTTCACACAATGTTTATTAACTTGCAAGAATGAGAAGACAGCAAATAAATAAAGGCAAAATTTGAGCATAAAACTAAACATAAGGTATTCTAAAGATTCAGCCTTAGCTCATCACCACACATGGAAGGGAACAACCATAAATCCACTAGAGAGCTTTGGCAAGAAAGCTTAGCTTCAACCTCCATTTCTCTGTAATGGGAAGTCCATGATGCTGTCACTTGGCCAACAAAAAAGCAAGCACAGGAAAAGTCCGTGCCCCATATATAAATTATTGTATCAGTTTAGACCAGGGGCAATAGAGAAAAAAAAAGTTCAATGTGAATGAAAAGGTGTCTTGCTTTTTGGACCCAGAATGACATACAAACCATCACAAAAGCCTAGCCCTTACTGAGTTACATGTCTATTAGCTACTCTGCTTGTCTAATCCCTTCCTCCATTTCATTCACTTGTTAAGAATTTACCCACTTTAAAGGCTTTTTTGGTCAGCTCTACCTAACATTGGAAGAATTACACAAAGAATTGTGGAATACCACCGAAACAAAACAAACAATTGCATTTCATGGCCTGGATTTGGAAACTGAAATTATCTGGTTGACTGTGTGTCTCCTCATCTGATTAATTATAAACAACCCAAGCTTTTGCTGTACCTCTCTCATCTCCTCATCCAGCTTGCGTTGCTCCAGAGCCTCCTTCTCAGCTCGTTTACGATGTTCTTTCTCCACCTTTTCATACTTTTTCCAATAAAGAAGCATCTCCTTAGTAAGACGACGTGCTCGTGGCAGAGTTTCCTTACAGTTTTTCTGGGCCTGGATTGCAGCTCGACGTACCTCCCTCATGCACTGATGGGCAAGCTACAATGAAGTAACATTATAAAAAGTGGTAAAATGGGCAGATTTTAAAGAAAGCCAAATAAAACCCATTAAATTTAACTACAACCAAGTCTGATCCTTCAGAAGAAAAAAACTGTGATAATTTACTCAACAGTCATGCTTTTGAAATGGCAAGAGAGAACGTGAACTTCCAAAAACCGCCTGAGATGGTGGAGAAGACAAAACATGAAGACTGTTTCAGCATGGCATGGAATTTAAAGGACTGATCTTGTGGGTAGGTCCTTGAAAGGTACCCAGGACCCTGGGTCAGATCAGGAGATCAGTTCAAGACTTGCCTGCAACTCTGACTCATCTATTCCAGACACTTTTCTGTGATACCCACACTTTCTCACTGTTTTAATAAGGCTCCTATAATAGAAATATTGGTGGAATAGAATTCCATTCACATTAATACACTGAAAAGCTGGGGAGTACCCTACAATTTTCCTACAATTTCATGAAGATGCATAATATAATGTATTTTTTCTTGATAGTATAAATAAATTAACATCATTGTCATAATGGTCAAAATTGCCAGGTTTCATGTTTGTGACAGTATTTTTTCCTCGACTAAAATTTCCACATCAACAATTCTAACAAATTTCAAATGACCAAACAAAATGAGAACAAAGGAACAAACCGTGGAATTCAAATTTTTCTATGTCTGCTGCGTCACTTGCTAAAATGCAATTTGTGATACCTACAGATACAATAATCACAGGCTATCTGGCCAGACATCACAAATAAATCCATCACCTGCCAGCTAAGGAGGACCACAGGAGAGAACCTACCTACAGCAAAGTTTCTTAAGTATGCACATGCAGGTCCTGCTTTCTGCATCCTTTACATAGAAAATGTTCTCTTTTCTTCATAAAGTATATACAGAATGAAAGATTTCCTACATCATCTTGTCTCTCATGATTCTCAGCCACATACTTGATTCCTTTTTCATTACCCATATAAATGAATCAGACACTCAAGCGAAACACTTGAAAAACTATCAGAAAGCCATTACCAAGTGTTCCTAAAGTAAAGCCTTCTAGGTAGAAACAATGACACTTCTCAGAGAAGACTCTGATGAGATAAACTCCTTTTGCCATTACTTGAGCAGAAAATTGTTCTATTTTTAATCTCATATCCTATATATGTTTATGTAAATCAACAAATTTAATATTCTGAGAGCCCCTTTGATTTAAAGAAGAATGCTAAAACCAGCAAATTCCAGCTAATGGATAGATGGGCAGCTCAAAAGCCAAAGTGTACCAAAGTCATTATTTTATCAAAGATTAGTAAATTAAAAATGTACAAACTAAATCTTATGAAAGCCAAAAAATCCTGTCAGAAATTCACATTGCTCGTTTCATCTGTTGCTTATGAAACATGCCAAAATGACACATCTAAAAAATGTAAAGCCTTATCCTATATGACAAATTACTTCTATACAGTGCTCTCACCTATACTGTCCTGCTAGTATAGTCAGTATTATAGAAACAGAAGAAACAAAAAAAGGTTATAGTTTGTTTACTATATACCCTAAAAGTAACATTATAAAGGCAAACAACACTTACCTTTTTGCTGTTGGTTAGGAAAAGGTTGCGGGCTGAGGCTTTTTGTTTGTATGCCTATAAAAGAACACCATCTTAAAATTAGTTACAAGGTAATGGCTTCACAGCATTTTAAAAGAGTACTATTCACTCCTCATCTGATAACACATGCCAACCTCAGCCATGCACACTACTGTATAATTTGGTACAGTTATTTTAAGTATTTTTTTATTTTCGCTGAAACAGTTGTTTATCCTTGTTTATGACATAAATATATTCCAATTCCTGAAGGAAACAAGTAAACAATCCTTTTTCAGGATCACTTCTTTAATTACTACTATTGCAAAGCAGTGTTCTCCTATTCCACTGTTACCACTGAAGTAAACAACAAAACTTTGTACTGTTTCCTAAAGATGTTAAGAATTAATGGAGAATCTATGTTCTTCATGTGATCAAAATCAGTCTTTTGAAACTGCAAGGTCTATCACACTGCACATACCCTTTGCCTGGCTTGTAAGTTTGTAAAGGATGCTACAGCCATCATTCATATTCAACTTCCTAGTATTCCAAGTCTGTTAACTGTGAACTCCAAAAAGCATGTTGTAAGGCCCATTCTGACCACATCTCAGAAAACTAGCAATAGTGAAACAAGCTTCCTATTTCAACAGTGCTCCAAGCTCCTCCTGAATGTAGCAAACACTTTTCCCTAGACCTTTTCTGAAGTAAGTTTCAAAACACAGGCATGCTACAATGACTGAAACAATCCTTTCATGGTCTAGTGCCAGTAGTCAAGCTCACCTTTGGCAACTCCTTTTTAACAATGCTAAGCCACACTTTCCGCCGACGTGCGTTAAGTTGCTCAATAGTCAAATGCTTCTTCTTGGACCCAGGTGGTGGAGTATCATGAGAAAACTTGGCAAAAACTTTGGTCTGATGATGGTGGTGTCGTGGTGACTCCTCTGAAGACAGCTCTTCATCCCGTCTCCTCTTTTTCTTCACTTTTTTCAACTTGGCTGCATGGCAACAATGATGATAAATTTATTTTTCTATTTTATTTAGTCAGGTATCTTTCCTGAGCAAACTATCCTAGTCAATTTATGTGTGGAACCAACAAAAAAGCCAAACTCATCCATGCTTGCCAATTCTGGTACCATCCATTTATAATATTAGGTATTTCCTCATTACTTTATAATGAAAAATTTTCCTGTTTAGTAAATAGAGTGGTGAAATCCAATTTTACCACCCAGAGAAACATGCCTTCAGAGCTCAAATGTATGGAACCTGATGCCGTATTTCTTGCTTTGTGGTAAAATTCTATTTAGAGACACTTAAAGTAAGACATTTAAAGGTAACAATATTAGCATTTGGTAGGTTAAGACTCAACCCAAACTTCTCAGCAGTTGGAAAGAGTCTGGCATGTTGTATCATGTATTACAGATAACAGGTTTCAGATGAAACTGATACTGGCATCAGATAGTAAAAATATTCTTTGTCAGTACTCAAAATAATTAATGCTGCAAGATCAGTGGAAAGAAGAAAGCCCGACACACAGTTAAAGGAACTCGCAGAAAGATTGGAAGGAAGGAAGCCCAAAATAGCCCCCTTAAAACACAGCTCAAACTTCAGTACTTGCACTAGACAGAATTCACCTTACGCTGACAGTTCATACCCTTCTCTTCCTGCTTCCTTACAGATTTACAGCTGCTGCCAGCTCAATCAAGAAAGGAAACTACACTTCCTGGCAAACATGCATTTGAGAAACTCCAGCTGAGAAGTTACAGAAGAAATTCTATTTTAACTCAGATTGGGGGCATGAATTCGGAGTTCCCTCTAATTTCCAGAAAACACTCACAGCTTCCTATCATTTCTTGTTCAGTTCACTAGGATTACGCATTCCAGAATAAAGGCATCAGGTATTAGGTAAGTGATTACATTTTCCAAGACCTACTGTATTTTAAAAAAATTCGGAGTAAATGGACCATAACACACAACTGTATTTATGGATTCCAAAGCAATGGATAAAGCTATAAAGGTTCTTAACTGCATAACTCTTTCATTCTAGATTCAGAGGTCCACAAAGAAAACCTAAAGTCATGAACTCTCAGTTCACATTCCTGTTTCATGTTAGCTTGCTAGAAGCCAGAAGATAAAACACAGTATTTTCTGACATTTTTTTTCTTTGATAGAACTTCTTATTCCCATGCAAAACCCTAAAGTTTCAAATATTTCTTTTTATTCGCAGGAAATAGCATAGGAAGGACATTTAATCACAGCAGCCTTTTAAAAACACAAAGTTAATAACTTTACCTTTTAGTTTTTTCTCTTCTTTGAACTTCTTTTTCTTGGGCCCTAGCAGGTGGCGCTGCTGCTCATAGTAAGGATCATGTGTAGATAGCAGTCCTGCACTGTAGTACTGATACTGCTGCAACTGGAGTGGATGTAAATTAGCACAGTGATGGAGAATGGACGTAGCAGGTAAGAGAGAGAGCAGGTAAACAAGTTCAGACCTTCATCATATTTAGCATTGTTATCAAGTACCATACAGTATCCAAAGTGTAAACACTGTTCCAGAGGTGGCCTCCAAGTTCTAGACAGAAGCTAAACCCACCCAGTTAAGATAGCTTTGCTGCATATTCTTCCTAACACTTTCAAAATATACTGCTCTGGCTTCTCCATATGGGTGCTGCCCAGCAAGACAACACATGACATGAAGTGATCCAATCATCGACCCCCTGTTTGTTTTGCTTGCATTGCCAAACCACGAACACATTCTACTTTATTATTCCAAACTATGTCAAAGGATGAGTTGAAATAAAAGGCATTTAAAAGCTTTCCACAAGAACAAACAACTTCAACATTCAGATTACCAAGTAAAAACATAGCTGCTGCATCATTTGTTCCTAAATTATCTGAGAAGTCAGTATATTCCAAGCATTATCCAGTTATAATAGTAAAGAACAATACACAGGTTACACATAAACGGGCAAATTAAAGACAGAATAGGTCTGAAATTAACTATTTCAAACTTAAGTATCCTATTAAGTTAGTAAAAGATTTTTTAAATGTAAGATTATCAGGAAACAAGCTTTTTTGGACAGATGTGTTTCCCCCCTAATACCTGTGTACTGCTACTCTGACAAATACCCTAGTTATTTTCACTGGATATCACTTCTTGTTAGTCTTGAAATAAATATTTGTGCAAAATCTAGCAAAAGTAAACCTGTGTAAAAATTTGGTGCATGGATGTTTGTGCGGTTATTTGATCTTTCAAGAAGCTAATAGAATCTTGGTTTAGAAATTAACCAGTAAACAAACAAAGGAAACAGAAATGAAGATCTGGGTGGGAAAATATTTCTCCAGTCTTTTGGAGAAACTTCTAAAGAATATGAAACAAGAAGACAAATATTAATTTTGGACATCCTCTGACCACAGAATAGCATTACCTCCTTTATCTGAGACTAATTCTGGTGTAATTCAAATCAGCAATTAAAATAATTTCTGCAAAAGCCCTTATAATTTGAATAAATATATTTTTAGAATCAGAAGTCATAAAATTTGGCCTAATATTAAGAAAAATGCAAAAACTCGGCTGGCTATTTTTTTATAAGGGGGGGGGAAAGAAAATATGAGAAGAAAACCCATTATAAAAAAAGGAAAGGTAGAGGGGAAAAAAAAGGAAAGTCAAGTAAAACCCTGGAGAATCACAGGAAGCAGTAAGAAAACTAGGAACTCACTTCCAAGAAGGTAAACATCATTGCCTTACTACTTGTTACCTCAGTGATGATGCAAGTGTACTGCTTGAGTCTTGAAAAGCAGCCACTAACTGTATTAGAATGTAAACCACAGCACCTCAGTTTTCCTATATATAATCCAAAGCTTGCATTCTAGAACCCTGTATTTGCTCTAGTGACTGGGACAGAGTGTTATGGGAACTTTATGTAACACACGTGCCAGTACTAAACACATAAATTATTGACAGATTCTCAGCATAAGGCCTTAACAGCTTTTAAGTCTGTATATAACTAATCAAATAACCCTTGTCTGAAACTGATGTTAGACTGTTAGAGTCTACCAAGCAACTGAGTATGTTCCAGTCCACAAAATACTGTGGTTTTTCAGAAAAATGTAAAAGCAGTTAAAACAACACTGTTAAAGGAAAGAATAAAAATCAAGGACATGAAAATTCTGGATTTTTACCTCTTTGTCTTTGCTATATTTACTTTGATGCAGTTTCCTGTATTTGTGTAATCGCAGCATATTGTGAAGTTCCTCCCTTGAAAGAGAAAATTCTTCTTCCTCCTCTCCATCCTCATCACTTGGTGAATCTGTGTCACTGGAGTCATCACTCAGAAGGATACTCTAACAAGAATAAATGAAACTTAATTTAGCAATCATAAGCCCCTGTACTGAATTATTTGTGCAAAACACTCTTGAATCTTTATCTAATAAAAGGCTGCAGGTATAGCCCAACAACAATACTTAGCATTTACGGAGCATCTTCCATCGGAACTACCTTAAATGGAAGTTTCCTGAGGCACAGGACTGTGTAGTCATGAATCCAAAACACATTTTCTGATTCAGAGTGAGGTAGTTTTCTGTTACTTTGGAGATACTTCAGTCATTTTGGAATCAACTTGGTCAGTTTGTGGTCTCAGAACACTCTTCTCAGCAGTGAGAAAATTGAGGATAACAATAGGGGCATTTTGTGATGTCTGTTTGCAGTTGCCTTTCTATCCCATTTGCAATTTGTGCTGCTACTCTGCCACTTCTGCCTGCATTAGCTGATGCAGGTTTGGGTCTTGTCTGACCCCTTGACAACCTGTTTTTGCTGATTAAGGAAGGCTACAGTACAACAAAAATGCAAAGATGGCATCAAGCCACCATTCCACTCTCCTTCATCCTCATTTGGACCTCATACTGAGTTCACCTTAGAAACAAATTTTCATCCAAGTCTCAAATGTTCATTTAATATATTTCATAACAGCTCACTTTAATTTAGACAGTGTACTAAAATTACTTCAAGTTTCTAAATGTATACTCACTGTGAAATTTAACTAAAAAGCTACTGTTCACCAAAATTGAAATGCCTACTGTCTACATTGCTACGTGATGATAAGGAAAACCTCATATATAGAGACTGTAGTTCTGTTTCGTTCTACCCGAAATCTCATACTTTATACATTATCAGCTGTTGCATACTCTGCTTTCCTTCCATTTCCAAGATGAAAAGCCTTTGTAGAGTGTATTTTTTGCTTCGGTGCATGTTTTTGCTTAATGCAAAAAACAAAAAAAAATTACTCTTTTCTTTCTTAGCAAGGGACACTAGCTCCAGCTACTTCAAAAAAATAGTGCAAACAACACGTCAACGTTAATTTAGAGCCCTCTTGTCAGTAATGCAAAACATTACCACATCTCTATACCACCTTATGCCTCTTTTTCAGTATGAGATTCTTTATCAACTAAACTGCATCATCTGATTTAGAGCCACGTTTTAAACACTCCCCTAGCTTTCTGAGCTCTCAGTAATACATGTAAAGTAAAATTAAATGGACTATTCAGATGAGAAAAAACTTACTATAAACTTATTATACTTGGAAATTATATTTGTGATAATGCTGTGACCAGTGCTCAACTTACTTTCTTGTTGCCATCTGCTTGCTTACATGTTTCTATACCATGATCTACGTCAGATGACAAGACAGAATCCTTCACTGCTGTCTACATGGTGTTGTCTGGGACTCATAGATTCCATAACAGCTGCAGCATTTCTTTCCAATATTCTTACCTTCAGCCACTTTCTGCTTTTCTTCAGTTTGGAAAAGTTATACAAGCTCCCTTTTTCAGACTTTGGTTCTGTTAAGAGAAAACAAACAACATTTAAATTTTTAAGAAGTGTTTTCTCCAGCTTATCCCAAAGAAAGCAAAGATTCAACTTTGTGCATGCCTACCTGGCTGCAGCACTCCGTTCAGGGAAGGTGTGTTCAGCATTCCAGAATTCCCTGCTCCAGAAGACTCCCCAAGCAAAGAGTTTGGAAGCTCTTCCTTAACTTGCATCAGGGGATCCCCAGATTGAGGCAGCAAAGGATTGTCATCCAATCCATCTTCACTTTCATCACTGCAAGATGTGTAATATGTTGACAGTTAAAGGAAACTATTCAAAAGAGGAGATAGTCATGCACTTTTCTATATGTGGCCAGTTGTCTAAAGGTTTGAAAATCCACATAGCTTCAGATCTAACTTTACACAGTAGAGGTACTGCTGTTAATCATTTCCTGTTAACCCCTCAGCAGTAGTTAATCATCAGACCAGACTGCTTATGCTATCAACTCGCACGTTCAGAAGCCTTTAACTAGGTATCTAATTCGAGAAGCATGAACCAAGCAAGAAACTAACACAAAAAAACCTCAAAACAACAAAGCACAATATTGTTGTCCACGCCACTACTGTACATGTGAGAAATACAAAATTACTTTTTCTACTCTTTATGTGGATCTTATTATGTGGTTGCAAACATACCCATTATCTATTATCCATACAGTTAGGTAATTCTGCAATTCCAAAACACTGATGAAATTAAATGTAAATTGCTTTGGGACAGAAACGTATCTTCATGACTCACCTCTCACTGCTAGAACGTATTTACATGCAAATTCTGCATCTGACAACAGTCCTTGCATTTCACTCATGGCTACAGGCCATGTCCCTGAAAAATCAAATTGGTGCTTCTTCACCCCACTTTTTGCAGACAAAGGAAGCTTTGGCCACTCAGATATAAAAAAGAGCTTTAAAACATTGTGCTGATTTGTATCTGGGCTGGGAACACACTGCATTTTCAGTGTAAGCTAAGAGAAGCACAGTGCAAGATCTTTAATAGAGAAGAGTACAAGTCACTACTAAATCCTTAAAGTGATGTCGCCTAGGAAAAATATAATAGAAATGTCTTTCTTTGGTATTCCCAAAGGAATACAAAAGGTTTGTGTACCTGGATATACTCCTGTTGAAGATGGCAGACGTCTGTCGTAAAAACTGATCCAGTCGCAGAGCTTTCTCCAGATATTGCAGATAAAGGGGTTTTGCCAGCTCTGAGCAGCTGCCATCCTCCTTGGCACCCAGCTCTGAGGCCATAGAACAAACTTCTCGTCATGCACAAGCACCTCTGAACACAGGGCTGTCAAGAAGAAACAACAGGCATCATCACCACCACCATCTCTGAAAGGAAACAACTCAGTGAGCAGTCAAATCTACTGCATGCTACACTACATGCTAACACTCCGCGTAGCACATAACCAAGGTAGTTCTGGGCAAAAAGCTTAGGTTGCAGTTAATGGGTATATCAAACCAAGAGAAATTCACACTAAACTTTCCACCACCATATTACCCAAGCCAAAACCAAGACTTAGTTTTCTGTTTTATGACTTTGTCAGTGCCATTTCATAGAACGAGCACCGCACTGACCTAGTATGATAATCCAAGTGGTGACATAGAAATGCAAAGTACAACGAAGCCAGTCCTTGAACACCTAAAGCAAACTTTCATCACTATTAAAGATAACATGTTTAACTCTGAGCAGAGGGCAGCCATGTTTCATGAAAGTAATTCAATTATTAGTCTTAAGTTGAATCACATACATAAACTACTCCAAGAGGGAAGAAATTCTGAAAATACCATTCTTCTGTTGTTTTTACCATTCAACTCATATCTGTAGTCTACCGAACACTTGTAAGACCCTTCCTTTCCTTTCAAGCAATGCTCTTTTACAGGACTCAGAACGTAGCTGCTACCCACTGACAAACAAGCTACAAACACTTGACAAAAAAAACTTCCACTGCAAAAGTCAACTTACCTTTCTCAAAGTAACACATAATTAGCAATTTATTACATACTATTTATATTTACAATTTTAGAACATACTCTAGCTTTACAATTTTCAATTAGCTTGCATATTTTACATTTTTTGTTCTCAGGATTTTACGTTCTTAAAAAACCAAACACATCCCCTTGCAATATTGTATAATACACACTTTAAAAACAAAACTATCAAAACATTTGATTGCCCTGTAAACTGCATTTTATTTTCCTTCAACTACAAAAGATGTCATAATGATTAGTAATAGCTCTGTCAACTGGAATTCTAATTTTTTATTATAAAAGTTGTCATTGTTGTTACAATAACAGTAAGATAATTTAAATTTCCAAAGTCACAGTTGTTACTGAAGAAACAAAAGTGCTGTCAATATCCTAAATAATGGTAACATTTAATAACAAATAAACGCCGTAAGATTTTGCTTCTGGTGGAGGACAAAAATAAAACCAGTCAGTTTTATCTTTATTAATTGCTCTTGTGAAGGATTCTTCTGGTTTCTATCAGTTGTTAAAAATACCACAAAACCTGAAGAAAACTTCATATTAATTTCCTGCAAAATTTTTTATATTTGTTCAATTATTAAATTGTTAGTAAATTGTTTTAAGTTTATGAAAGTGAAAACACAGATTGAGTATGTGGTCTTCAAATGGTTCTCTGTTCACGTATATAGTCCAAAACCTAGCATCTAAATTTTTCCAAGTCTTTTACCCTCAGAAATTACAGAACAGATTCAAAACTTGTAACTTCCAAAGTTACAAAAAAATATGATAAATGACCACCACCTTGAGATTAATGGCCATGGCTGAACTGGAACAAATTTTATTATTTCCTAATAAACAGCTAGCCTTCATTCAACAGCTTTACTCACACAGTATAAACAACAGTGTGCCACTAATTGTCAGACAGGGTCAGATCCCTGATTAAAAAATTATTTTTAGACTGAAGTGATCTAGGTTCAGCTTTCTATATGCTAAATCTTTGTACAGCTGACAGCAATGGAATGATGGACCTCTACTACCAAATACCCATTTCTAGCAGAGGTAAACAGAACAAAGCACTGAAAAGCTTCTCTATGATAAAGGTATTAAGACTCATGTTTTCAAAAAAACTTCCATCTACGTATGTCACACTGCTTAACAGCCATCTGAAAAAAACACCCTAAAATCAAAAACTGTCTTCTAATAGACAGGGCCATGAAGAAAGTGAAGAGATTAGAAAATGAAAGGAAACATGAAACTTGTATCCCTGATGGAAAAAATAATTCAGGAGAAAGGAAGGGACACTAAGAAAGTGAAAGTTATTTTCTTTCAGATCACCAATAAAAATTATATTACAGGGAAAGATTAAATCCCTCTCATACCAGAAAAATTACAGTGATCCCTTTTATCACTCCATTTCAAAATGTATCTGTCAATAAGAGCATGTTATGTTAACAGACTATTATTTTACTTTCCCAAACAAAATGCAACGTGCAACCATCGTTGGACCATTTGACTTAGAACCACAAGGTGTCTTTCACCTGTTTGCTCTTTGCAGAAAACCTCATTTCCAAAACTCACCACTTAGTGGCATTGCTTGCTCTCGAGCCACTGCCAGAAAGAAACATGCCCTAGGGGGCACAAAGCACACACAACTTTATTTGGATTCGCCACCTCCAAGGAAGCTAACAGATAAAATGTATGTACTCTTCTGCACCCCGATGAGTCTTGTCCTCACAAAACTATACAAGCTTAACAGTAAAATTAAGGGAAAGAATTGAGATAGACTTGAGGTCCAGCTTTTAATTGCCAGACAGCAAACAGGCCAGAGGCAAAACAAACACAATCACATTCCTGACCTACAATGAGTAACTGGATACTCTTATAGCTGCCCAGATGCACTTGCCTAAGCTCTGATCCAAGCGGGTCCACCAGACTGGATCGGTATCTCTCCTCCACACAGGCAATGGTGCTCATCCAGCTTAAGAGATAACCCAGCAGAAGACTATTTTACTTTACTTGTAAGATATAAATGACCTTATGAAAAGAAGATGCTATCTGATGTGTTTTGGAGTTAGAAAACTAAGGTATTTCCTCAGGAGTGGCTTATTCCTCCTTCAGAGTTTCCAGGCAAATATGAAAGCAAATGTCTGCAATGACTGCAGTTGCTGCAGAAAGGTTTCATTCCTTATTTTATCACGTTAAATCCCCTTGTTCTGTGCACTACGCTAAGCATGTACACTCATTGGTACTGTTTTCAGACACCCCTGTTGTTAAATATTACTTCCCATATCAGAAAACCTTACATTTCCACATTTAATAAAGTCCTTCTTGTGTTGACTCAGCGTAGAGAAGACAAGCTTTTGCTTGTCTTCCTATTTTAATTATCCCAAAAGGCTTCTGTACATATGAAGTTAATTACTCTTGCCCTCAAAACAGTTACTTGTCTGTACCCCACCTAACAAATAAACTAACATAGGAAGGCTTAACAATATTCCTAAATGTCTTAACAATGCCCAAACCAAACTTAATAACTGTTACGCAGGCATACTTAATAAAGGCACTCAGCCACTGAATTGAGCCTTTTATTTTTTTATATTCTAACTGTCACACAGTGCTTCTCTGCTGATCAGCATAAGACGGGGAGCTGACAGATACTTCCGTATTTTCCGTTATTTTGTTCCCATTCTAGGCTTAAAAAACCCCAAATACTTTCAATGGCAAAAACTACTTGAACACTGAAGCCAGAAAATATGAGAACAGATGAGGAAGAGGCACACAGCAGCCTTACCCTCTACAGTAGATAACAGTACTCAGAACATCAACAAAACATTGCTTCAGGGGACTTGCAAGGTGATGACATTCATTCCACTTCACTTTTTAAACAAATCTATCCTTTTTCCTACTCAGTTTAAGAAAGACTGCAGAAATACAGATTTTTGAAATGTTTTATTTACCAATGGTACTATTTAAAGACTCATGTTATGGGTGGTAAAATGACTGGATGCTGCCATCACGACTTTCTTACTGATACAGACCAATTCTATGTTAATTTTCAGCATCAAATTCAACAGTTACTTGCTTTCTCTCTTAATCCCTCCCAGAGTTATAACAGTTTAGAGAATCAGCATTTGGAAATAAATAGCTGCTGCACAGCTTGGCTGGCACTTTGAATCCTCTAACCTTCTTACTTAACCAGAAGTCCTCACTGAAATCATTTACTTGTATCATGTGGCCCTCTGAATTATTAAAAGCACAAGTAAAATGCCATCAGCAGGATCCGAGTTTAGTTATACATATATGCACCCATTTCATACAAATAACATTAATAACGATACATACATTTATAAAATATCTCAGGTCAGTTCTGAAGAAGCATTCCTTATCCTGCTTTAAATTGCATTGCTTAGTTCAATGTTAATATAGGTGTGGGGGGGTTTCACTCACTGGTTTTTCAAGTCTGCCCATTACAACGTCTAGTCAGTAAGTAAACACCCAGCACTGGAGAAGAATCATCCAAGGACGTCCTTAGAGAGCAGAGGTATCAAAGTAAAGCAGAATCCCCATATGTGGCAAGTGCACAGTTTGGCACTTGTGCCAAGCTGCAAGCTAGAAAGGATTTGCTTTGTATGGCTGTTTGATGTAGTACTTTTTCTTCCAGGAGTCTCATTTTAATTCTTTTTTTTTTTTTCTTTTTTTTTTCTTCTTTCCCCCCC